CTGGGCCATTAGGGGGTAATCCCTGGTGGCTCAAAAACTTAGTGGCATAGATTAGGTGGCTCCCTTGTCTAAGACAAGTCGTCCATTTGTGTGCACATCTGGTTGGTTTCGGATCAGAGATAAGACCCGCTCTTCATTCGTGTGTCGACATGATCGGGTGTTCCTAGACTATAGTGTAGTAATGGTGAAATTCATTCATTGGAAACTGGCTTTCTCAACCTGTCATGGGCCACAATAGTTGGTGTCGTAAAGCAAGTGTTGTCGTGTTGTTTCGTAACTTCTGGTACCAGCTCATAAAATGGGTGTTCGTAATGGGTAGATTCCGGTTAGGTAGAGTATGTATATGAAGCCTATAATGGGTATGTTGGTGCATCCATGCAGGCTAAATCTTTCGAAAAGTCGTGTCCACGATCATCGATGACTTGGAGCTTGACTAACAGTTCATAGAATAACTTCACCCTAATAATTAAAATTTGCCAACCCGTGTTGCCTTGGCTGTTCCTTCTTCATGGTGTTTGCAAAGGGGAGGACGGTAGTGTTATGCTTGTGTAGGTATGTGAACATGATGTTTAGTTCACAAGTTACCCCTTCGGTCACGCTTCTCATCATATTCTATTAGACGTAAGTGTAGTGTCTTACTTAAGTGCTTACAAATTCACCACTTAATCATATTCTATATCTAAGTGAATTGTTAGTGTTAGTATGATTGGTAATGAGACTTGTTGAGTACCCTTGTACTCACCCTTGCCACAACAAACACTTACATGTATGGTGATGGACGATGTTAGCTTGGTTGCCTTTTAGGCAACAGTCTGGGCAGGGATATGGACACCATTTGATTTACTTTGAGCCTTCTTGAGTCTATTTACATTCTTACCTGTATAAGGTTTATCCGATTCGTTTGTATAAGTTGGATTTTGGTCGTAAAGACCCTGGTTGTATACGATATTGTATATGTATTATTGTTGTTGATGCGGAATATTTTGTAACCTATTGTGATACCGATGCTTCGTCACATTGTGTGCATGTTTTCATGTGTACGTTGTGTGAATTTGGAATCTTGGGATCATGCTATTTGCATTCTTACCTTTATAAGAGCATCTCCAATAGATGGTCCATATTTTGACATGTAAACCGGTGATGTAAAATTTTACATCATCAAAAAGTGCTTTTTACATCTCTGAAAAAGAGGCAAATCCAACAGATGGTCCAAAACGAAGATGTAAACGAGTAACTCCAACATATGGTCCAAAACGAAGATGTAAAACCGGTCGGCGGCCGCGCGACTGCTTTTCAGCCGCTGTACAGCCGCACATATTGCAAAAAACATCTAAAACAACATAAAAAACTATACATGTCCACAATATCAAATTATTACATAGTTCTTCAAATCCATGAGATCAAATGCAACACAAATACAACACAAATACAACATAGTTTTGCACAATACAACATAGTTTTCACAAACAAATAATGAATCTATGCGGCTCTTTCGCCATGCCATTTCCAATGCTCTTCCATCAAATCTTTCTGGGGTTGATCATGCACATCGGTGTCTCTAATCTCGCTGTACACCTTCATGAAACGTCTGATCCGCTCTTCTTTCCGTATGGGGTTAACACGAATGCCCATCAATTGATAGAAGTTGTAATCTAATTTTTTTTCCACGCTCGTTCTCAATGATCATGCTATGCATGATCACGCAAGCGGTCATGATGTGCCAAAGGATCTTTTGATCCCAGAATCTATATGGTCCTCGCACAATAGCAAATTGAGATTGCAAAATCTCAAAAGCCCTCTCAACATCTTTTCTAGCGGCCGCTTGTGCATTGTGAAAGACGAGTTATTTCTTACCTTCGGGATTTGCAACCGGCTTGACAAATGTACTCCACCTCGGGTAGATCCCATCTACAAGATAGTACACATAGCTGTTCACCGGTGGTGCTTCTCCATTTGCTAACTTGGCAAATAGAGGTGACCGGTCGAGGACGTTGATGTCGTTGCAAGATCCAGGCATACCAAAATATACATGCCAAATCCATGTTTCATGATCGGCAACTGCCTCAAGAATGATAGTAGCATCCTTCCCACGCCCCTTGGATTGTCCATGCCATGCTTTTGGGCAGTTCTTCCATTTTCAATACATGCAATCCACATACCCGAGCATACATGGAAACCCTCGAGCTTTGTTCATCTCCAAAAGCCACTGAGTGTCCTGAGCATTGGTGCTCTCAAGTACTGTGGACCAAACACTTCTACCATAGTCATTGCAAATTTCTTGACATAGAAGATAGAAGTGCTCTCTGCCATCGCCAAGTTGTCATCAATGTAATCTGCCGGAACACCATATGCCATCAGGCGCAAAGCGGCAGTGACCTTCTGTTCGGTGCTATGGCCAAGCAACCCGACATGGTTCCTTCTCTGCTCGAAGGCTGGATTATGCTGCTTCACGAATTGCAAATGTGGATGAATAAGTCTTTCAACATTCTGAAACAGCGTCGAAAGTAATTTTGCGAGAAAACAGGTGGTGATCCAAAGTAGTTGCGCATCACTGTTTGCTTGCATCAATCCATTCTCTCCAAATGAACGCGCGACCATAGACGGAACCACCGTGCTTCGGCTTGTTCCCCTTGTGCATGGACATTAGAATAGCAATGTCCTCTTCTTCATGCAAATCAAATTCCTCGTCCGATGATGAATCGTCAATGAATGAGGAGTCAACCGAGCTCATCTACAATGCAGACAACCACCGTCAAACATACTATCCAATCGCAATTTAAATCATCAAGTTTCGTCGTTCTTTTACCTTGGGAATTCCGTCGAACACCTTGTGCGCGGGGTGGAAGAAGATGGTTGGCGGTTGGATTGGTAGCTGGTCACTGCTGCGGACGGTGGCGCAAAGGAGAAGGGAGCTCGGCGGCCGGCGGAGAGGAGCTATACGGGCTGCCGAACCGTCGGAGTCGGCGAATCCCGCCACGGCTGCTTCCCGAATCGGCGGCATCGAGGCGGCTGCGAGACGCCCTCCGGCGGGGGAGGCGACACGGGCGAGGGCAGTGGAGGGCGGCGGCAGCAGCTATTTGGAGCGGTGGCGGCGACGGCGATGGCGATTTGGGCGGTGGCGGCGGCGATTTCCGGCGACTGGTGCTCGGGCGGGCGAGCGGTCGTGAGCGGGAAGGAAAATGAACGGGCAGTTGGTCGTTACGCGGGCGGCCGCGGTTTTACATCATATGTATCTCGTGATGCAAATTTGCATCACGAAGTGTTGTATTTTACATCTTCAGGAGGCGGTTATGTAATTTTTCGGTTATGTAATTTTTTTTACATATGGACCATCTGTTGGAGCAGCGTTTTTTGCTCTCGAATATCCAAAAGTTAGATATTTTTACATATGGACCGTCTATTGAAGATGCTCTAAGGTTTATCCGCTTCCTTTGTATAAGTTGGATTTTGGTTGTAAAGACCCTAGTTGTATAAGATACTGTATATGTATTACTAATATTGTTAATGCGGAATACGGAGTATTTTATAATCTGTTGTGATACCGACCTTGTCACATAGTGTGCACGTTTTCATGTGTACGTTGTGTGAATGTGGAATCTTGGGATTGATATTATGCGATGACCACCGAAGTTCCTAGATCTGCATAATGCCGGTCCTAGGGAGCCGCAAATGCTCTTAGAGGCACAGCTGAGGTTACTTCTGAACGGCGGTGGCGGTCGGCTCGAGCTCTGGAGCTGCCTACATGTTCTGAACAATCAATAGTTCTTCAAGATACACAACTGCACTAGGCACATCCGCACATAATGTATGACACAAATGAGCTAGTTCTGTGAGATCAGTCATGGCAGTTTCATATAGCTGTGCCAGCCGAGAATCTCACTCAATCATGTATACTTCTAAAAAAAATCAATCTCATTACAATTGGCGCCATTTTAGCACTTGGAGCAAGGGCCTGGTGCTGAATGACAGGCAGCTCATTCCGTTTAAATGTGGACAATTTTTAAAGCAGAAGCATGCAAATAACCAAGATAAGGACATACTGTTATGTATATCCATGCCATTTTCTCTATTCTTAGGGAAAGTGGCATTTCCTTGAGGATACTATATTTCTCACTACTGCTACGCTTCTTCCTTTGGCAGCAACAGGGCATCATATCATTGCAAGCAGGCTTCGGTATGTAACCTGCCAAGGAGGATTGACCCAGAAGCATTGCTCGCTTTACCTCTGCCTCAGGTGGATCGTCTCAGTTCCTGACCCTCACCTTGCGCCTTTCACCTAAGCAAAGGGTGTTCATCCAGTTAGCCCGTTAAATGAGTAGCCCAACAATGAAACAGTGAACTGAACACCTAGGATGTTGGACAATGCAAGATAAGAGCATTTTGAGGTGAGTAAGAAGAACCAATGGTTACTTTCTATCGGTTACATCATGTCATCAATTGAAGAACAGCGTGAATGGAATCACATAAGAAATACACCCTTTGTTCACTAATGTAAGACATTTTGGCAGTTCTTACATTAGTGAACAGAGGTAGTATATAATAAATATTATCGCAAATGGTTCCTCTCTAAAAATGTATCTGCTGCTCTTTTTTGCAGCGCAATAACTAAGGTTTCAGAACAAAAACAAAATTGAAATGCTAGTGTATGTTACAATGTAGTGAGTGTGACCTTCAGCAGTATAGTAATGGTGTCATGGTAAGCTATAAATTGGTAGCTAAGATCAACCAGCAATGACAACTTCAAATTTAAATACAGAAGAAACATATTGAAACTTGTTGGGATCAAAAGATTTAGTCGCAACTCTGTTAATCATGATGGTGTTGGCTGTTCAGAGCACAGGGTTGTGCACACAACTAATATGGAAATTTGCCCAAATAAAAATATTTAGGCTTAACTCCGTACATCATGTTTGTTCTGGGACATGGTTGTGCAAGCAACTAAATATGAAATGGGTGACCACAGATGGTCTAACAACTGATAAGAGCTCATCTGGTACCAGTTATAGTTCGGTACATGTCGCAACAGATTTTGTCGGATTTTTCAAAGTGGATTAACCAGCAATTGGAAGTCTTTAATCTGTAATCAACTATGACAGCAGAAAATGTGCAGTACCTGGGAGAAGATGAGCAGCTGGGACTTCCATGGATAGCAACAAACACATTGGAGTAAGACTTTGTGAGATACGCAAAGTTTGGTATCGGTGGCAATGTGGGCACACGCTCCCCTTTCCTCAGCAGCTCCTCCAAGTCGAGCCTTTGCAAGGTGAGCACAGACTTGTTGTCTCTCCAAACAAAGGCGAGCCGGCCATCCCGGAGAACAAACAGTGACCCGGGCTTTGAGCCAGGGTACCTGAACCCATACCCAGTAGCAATGCCCTCTCCAGCAAAGCATCTCTTAATGCTCACACTGCGGGAATCCTCGTCGGTCGGCCATGGAAATGCCTCTGTTGATGCTTCACCCACCCGCACGACAAACATGGACGACCCATTCGGATGCACGACATAGTGCGTGCCCTCCAACACCTTGGTTGCAATCAGAAGAAGCTTCCCCTCGCTGTCTTCCTCGTATGAGAGGAGCAGGAAGAAGAGAGCCTTCCCTGGTTTGCGCTCGTCGTCTGGCCGCCCCGGTGGCCACCCGAATGTGCCTCGCCACAGCCCGGCATATTCCCGGCCGGGCATGGGCACCTGCGTCGTCAACTTGTAGAGCGCAAACCTGTTGTCGTGCATGCTCGGCCACGCACGGTAGGTCGACAGCCGCAGCCGCGCGCCCCGGAGGCTCAGGCCGGTGCTCTCACTAGCGCGCAAGAACTCGTCCAATGCCAGATGCTTGCTGTCCGCGTACTCCGACCTCGAATTGGCTGATGCAGAGCGCGTCACCATCTGCCGCAGCCCGTTCCTGACGTACCCAGCCATCGCAGAGAGACTCCTCCGCAGCCGCACCCTCTCACCAGCGCTGTCCACCGGCAGCGACGGTGGCACCTTCTTGGCCCCCAGCAGCGCCTCGAGCTCCGGCCTGCGCACCATGCCCCCGCTGGACTCAATGTGCAGACGCAACATCGCCTCACGACGGGCGGCGAGCATCGGCAGGTCCTCATCGGAGCGCGCAAAGAGCGGGGCCGCCGCGAGCTCCGGCGGGAGCATGACACGACACGAGGCCACGAGAGCGTCCAGCAGCCGGCGGCGGTTGCCAAAGGAGAGGCGGGAGAACTGCGCAGAAGGCTCGGAGGAGACAGGCGCGTGCGCCTCGAGGAGGAGTGTGTTGGCGTGGGGGTTGACGGAGGCGAGGAGGCCGGGGAAGAGGGAGCCGGGGTGGTGGCCGTGGAGGAAGAGGAACGCGGGGCGTCCATCGGCGTCGGCGAGGATTTCGAAGACGGGGGCCCAGAGGAGGCGCGGGGAGAGCTCCTGGGGGATGGCGCGGACGGCGACGAGGGAAAAGAAGCCCGGGAGCGCGGCAACGAGGTTGCCGAGCTCGGGGTTCTGGTGCGCCCAGAGGCCTTGGAGCGGGGACACGGAGTGGAGGAAGCGGCATACGGTGAGGGAGGAGCCCCCGGCGGCGGCCCGCCAGGCGAGGAGGTTGGACAGGGAGGAGGGGAGGAGGCGGCGGCACTGGGCGAGCCACGACTTATCGGAGGCGGATAGGGCGGCGTAGAGGCGGCGCGAGGCGGCGGAGAGCGCGAGCAGGTCGCGGGGGCGGAGGTGGGCGGAGATCAGGGCGAGGACGTCGTCCGGCACCGAGAGGATCAGCTCGGCGCCGTCGACGGCCATCGGGATCGGGCGGTTTCGTGCGGTCGTGTGTGTGGTCTGGGTGTGGCGTCTGCTTCTTTTTTGCCTTTTCTTTTCTCCACCTCTGATAAAAAGTGGATCTTTTCCCCCCACCTAGAAAGAAGAAGAGTGGTGAGTGACCGACGAGGTCAGTAGGTCGTCACAGGCATTTTTTCCAACTGTGGAAATATCCCTTTTCGGCATTTCGCTCTCAGGCCACACCTTCACTCGCCACTATGCCAAAAAATATCTCAGCATGCAACTTTCCGGGGGATTTCGTGCTTATCGGCCAACTTGTCGTCCTATTTCTTTGGGAAACAAGGTGACGCTGTATATGATATTTTATTTTATTTAAAGAAAGGGTATCATTTTTCAACTGTTTACAACAATAAGGCTTGTCTGGGAGAAGAATGTCGCGGTAATAATATTCTATAATGCAATGAGCTGGCGCTTGAAATGGATCCCCTAGCAGCGGCTAAGGTTTAATATCATCACGGTGACTCCCTCGACGTGAGTCTACCCATCGGTGGGTCTTCTGCTGCATCGTATTGCGATTGTGGCCCTTCCAGCCGCCATCTCCTTGCTCTCGCGTGGTTCGCCAAGTCCCTGAGCTCCCGTGGATCGGTTCCTTGAACTCATGTGGTTCCATGAATCCTGTGGATCGAACATGTTGCCTTTGGGGTTCGTGGCCTAGCAGCGGCTTGGGGTTCGTCATCGAGGCCTTCGCCCTGCCCATCCAGCTGGCCGCCCTGCGACCGTTCCGCCTACGCCCTACCCATCCAGTTGCCCGCCTTGCGATCGTTCCGCCTACGCTTTGCCCACCCACACGACGATGACGACTCTCTCTGATCAGCACTCGGCCACATGCGGTGGGTCTGGAGCCCCCTCCCTCACCTAGATGTTTTTTTGGCCAGTTGGATCTGGTTGTGTGAGGAATTTGATGACTTTGTGATAGATGCGGAGGATCCCTTATCAATGATCGTGTTTGGTGGATAGCTCTTACGGGAGTCCACACAGAGAAGACATTCAGCCAAGCTGTGTTTTTCAGAGACATGCATGCAGCATGGAAATTCGTGCAGGAGATACGGTTGCGGCCCCTTGGAGCCAACCTCTTCGTGGTACATGCATCGTACTTGGGAGATTGATCATGCACCAGGGTCCGTGGATCTTCCACTATTGGGTTGTTCTTCTCCCTCATTATGTCGGCTTCAGCAAGGCCGAGCACATACATAGAGTAAATAGCAAAAAACTGCCACATTACACGCTAGGGTTACAAAAAACTACCACTTTCTTTAATTTTCCAAAATGCTACAACTATTTTTGTTCCCTCTTCCAAAAAACCCAAGTGGCTCAACGATTAACTTTTAAGTGCGCTTATGAAAGGCCTGGCCCACCCACGCATGCTGACATCCATTAGGGCGCAACCGTTCTGACCTGACCCGAGTCGGTTCACTCCCTCTTACTCTCTCTCCTTGCTCTTCTCGATCTGGTAGACCTAGGCGATGGCGACGACGAAACCACTCGACGGCGGCGACTCTATGGGGGAGGTGTGCCACTTCTTGAGCTTGTGTTGGTTTTCCCTTGAAGAGGAAAGGGTGATGCAACAAAGTAAAGATAAGTATTTCCCTCAGTTTGAGAACCAAGGTATCAATCCAGTAGGAGAAGAACGCACAAATCACCAATACCTGCACAAAGAATGAAACACTTGCACCCAACGCGATAAAGGGGTTCGCAATATAGGCATCATGTCCGTGTCAAGTAGACCGAAACGATTCTGCATCTACTACTATCACTTCACACATCGACCGACTCCTACCTGCATCTAGAGTAGTAAGTTCATAAAGAACAGAGTAACGCATTAAGTAAGATGACATGATGTAGAGGAATTAACTCAAGCAATATGATGAAAAACCCATCTTTTTATCCTCAATGGCAACAATGCTATACGTGACTCGCTACCCCTACTTTGTCACTGGGTGAAAAGGTAGCATGAATTTCGAGCAGGCACCAATATGCTCTCGGCGCGCAAGCGCACGAAAACACCGGTGGCGCCCACATGTCGGCCTAAGAGTCCTTATTATTTCTTTTTTGGAGAGCCCGACCTTTTTTCAGGATCTTTTGAGAGCCCGGCCCGAGAGTCATAATTGACCTGTTTGGCATTGCGTTACTACTCGGCCCATATTCAACGACACCTCACTGGCCCAAACAAGTGTACATCATCGAAAAGACAGTGAGCTCAAATTATATAACTTGAAAAAAGGAGATATACTCTGAACACTAGAGAATGGTGATGCCCTCATTTAGCCCACCAGTAGTTCGAGACAATAAACAGTTCGAAACAACGATATATACAACATTTAAACACTGACTAGTGACTACTACTGACATAAACAGCAAGACATGATAGTTCATAAGAAGTCTTGCTACACCACCAAAATGTACCCATCTGCAGCGCTCAGACTCTCGTGATCCAGACGAGAATGACATTCTAAACAGAAGCAACTATTACATAGAAAGAGTGACATAGACGAGGATGACCAAATGACAAGGAATATGCATAACAAAAGAAAGAACTACCCATCCAGAACCAGCAACAAAGACAACAAAGTCATTCGAAGAGATAATCCAGCACCATCATAATTTGCAGACCCGCTTTAGCGACCAGTGATCCGGAGACACCAGTACTCCAGCCTTTCGATGCAACAGCCCAATTACCTATCAACCTGAAGGCTTGAACCACATCACTGCCTGTCGTAATTGAGACATCCAAGGATCAAAGTTAATCCGGATGCCTTTGTCATTCTCACCTTCTTTTGCCTGCAGGCTGTATCGTTGACAATCAGGGGAGTATGCTCCCGAACTCCTAGGGCTTGCCGTGTAGACACAGTTTTCCATAGCAAACAGAGCCTCTCTGCCATCAAGGTCCTTGCCAACGGTGATCTCCTGGTTAATCGGATAATTGAGTCCGAGAAATAGAGAGTGTGAACCAAGGCTGTTTACCCGCCTCCAACTAAAAAATCCTAAAGGCCCCAACAAGCTGGTATCCTGCTCATAGACGTAACAACCACCTGTATGGATACTCACGTATTACACGGTGCTTGTATACAGTGGGGTTTTTGCAATATAACTTTTCCGGCTCATGTGTCTGAATGATCATCAGTCTTTTGCCGTCGTCTGATCGAGCGAGGAACCAGTTGTGCTTCCCTGTTTTTGGCAAAGGTGGTGTAATTACAAAGGGCAGTAACTGTAGGGACACTGCATCATATAAAAAAGGACAGGCATTGTTAATGTAAGATCAGCATTGTTCAGAGTATGAGTAGGATAATGCAAGAAACAGCATTGATATGTCCCTGTTGGAACTGGGAGGAAAATATAGGGAAATGTATACTGGGTTCGAAAATATAGAAGTGCCATGCATGGTTATACTCATGTTATCTCGCAATCGATTCTTCACAGGAAACTACCATGTCATGCATGTTATGTAATCATGTTCTGTACTCACAAACAAATTCTTCAAGGTAACTAACAGACCATGCATTGTTATATACTCGTGTTTTGTGGGCAAAATTTTTGTAAAGATATTATTCTAGTCATTGATTGCTGAATGGCGAATATAGGTATGTACACATGGTAAGCATTGTAGGATTTCACTACTTCCAAATATAGAGTTCTCCATATGCACATTTACTTCCCTAATGTATGGTTAGATGAAACCAACAGTGTGGTGCATGTTTCTACATCATGAAAATGAGGAAACTAACATGGCCATTGATACACACTCATATTTAGTAGTAGTATATAGATTACTGTAAAAGAAGGATAATATCCATATATTCCTAACCGTTTGATTATTCAGGGTACAAATTGGCTGTAATGACATGGTCACAATCGCATGAATTAACTCATTCCAAATGTAGCTGATTTACGGCATCCCTAATATATTGCCATAGTTCTACTCAAATTCTGCTCAAACAGGGATATGCCAATCATCAAAAAAAGTTCAAACAGTGTCATGGCGTCATCATTAACATGAGACGGAAACAACTTACACGCGTCGTCCCAGCAATACGTGGTGCCATCTGCTTTGTCGATCGCATAGATGATGCCATTGTGTTCAATAGCATCACAGAAGTGTGTATCAGCTTTGACTATGATCCACTGCGAGCCGAGTTGTCTCCAGCTAAAAAAGGCACCGACGTAAAGATAGGCGAGTCCGCGGTCGAACAAGGCAATTAGCTTGAAGTCTGCGTAATTCGCATGTCGTGTGGGTACTTGGCAGATTACAATCTTCTGCAAAACAAGGTCCGTCCAACTGACGTAGTAATCTAGATGACTTGGACCGCGATGGTAATACTCTATATAATCCAACGGAGGAAGGATGATCTCATGGAAGGTCTGGAAGTTCACGAGCACCAACTTTTTACCGTCTTCTCTGAAGGCAGCCATCCAGTGGGAGTTCATGCCGACCCAGTACATACCTGCCAAGAAGTTTTCGGCGATGGTGACCGGATCGATGTCGAGGGAAATGATGTATGGCAACACACTACATACCTGCAAAGAAGTTTCGGCTAATGGAGATCAGATTGAAGTCGAGGGGCATCATGAACGCCTCAGTATCATGGTGAGCCAATCTCGCAAGACCAGATAGCAGCAAGTAGGGTGTCTTGAAAAGCTTAGGCCTCGCTTCGATGATGGTCGTGTGCATGTCCCTCGAGCATGCAACCAGCCGCAGGGCGGTCAACATATCCATACACGAAGAACAGAGGTCGAGGATGTCACTGGGGAGATTGCTCCAATCGCGGCTCATATGGATGCTGCGTGGTTCGCGTTCGGCCATGGTGGAGTTTGGAAGGGGGCTTGATTTACGGGGGAGAAGGATGTCGGTGCTGGAGCGCCTAGCGAGGGAATGGTGGTACTGGGGGAGGCGAGTGAGGCGACGGTACACGGGGGCATAGTGAGATGGAGATGGAGAAGGAGACGGAGAAGGAGATGGAGATGGAGTG